AAGAGTTGATCTACCACGAGATCGTAATGGCTAAACCCTAAATGTCTAGCATGTATGGTTATGATTGCCTCTACGGACTAAACCCTCTGGTCTATATAGACAGCGTAGGGGGCTAGGGTTGTATAGAGTCGGTTTACAAATAAATGAATCTTCATATCCGCACGCCAAGCTTGCCTTCCACTCCAAGGAGAGTCCCATCTGGACACGGGGGAAAGTCTTCCGTTTTGTATCTTCACGGCCCACCAGTCCGGTCTACGTCACATAGCTCGGATGCCTGAGGACTCCGTAATCCTGGACTCCCTCAGCCGGCCCGTCTCCCTTGTTCTACTCTTCCTCGTTGGAGACCGCACCTTCACTTAATTTGGTGTTACCGCCGGTGCTCATGGAGATGGCGGAAGGAGGCCAACATGGGCTTGGATGCCGGGCACCGCTGTTGTAGGATAGGTTTAGGGGCGGGTCTTTTTTTTGTTCTAAATTTTCAAAATATAGTTAAATCCGTCATGCTTGTACGAAATCCGACCGTGTTTACACGAATTCCATCCAGTTTATTGAAAAATAGTTTGAAATGTACGCGGCTAGCATTGGATTTCGACCTCCCGCACCCATGTCCACGGATTGATCCCCTGTCCGCAGACGAATGCGGAAAATTTCTTATGGGTTGTTGTTGGAGATGCCCTAACTAAACCAAATTTAAATGAGATGCCATTCTCCACCACATAAAACACGAGGAAATCCATCCAGACCACATGCACCATCAATAAGATCCCAGTTTTCCCATCAAAAAGAGGGAAAAAAGACCCCAGTTTTCTTGGAGTAGTGTCGACCACGTTTGCATCTAGAGAATCCATTCAACAGCATACATCCGCCAACCGGGTCTCGCGTCCGACCCGATATCAGCACCCAAAGTTTTAGAAAAACCAGAAATATTCTGTCGGCTCAGGCCACAAAAACCACGAGACACGCAACTACCATCACCCAAAGTCCAAGGGATCCATATTTCCGCACCGACTTCTCCAACGCAAATCCATCCTAACGGGCACGGCGCGTGTGGCGGATCCGAGAACCCGGCAGGAGCGCGCGTGGTTTGGTGGCCGCTCACCCAACTGAAAGGCACCAGCCAACGCCGTTGCCTCCACAACTCCCACCAAGCCCTCCGCCAAACACCCTACCTCTCCATAGACCCGGTCCCGTAGACCCGCTCCCACTGACACCCGCGGCCCCGCAGCGCTACGACGCGTCTCCCACCGAAGACCGGGTCCACTCTTTTTTCAGGTGGACGCGGCGCCGGCCGGGTTCCGGTCCCTTTCCCTTGGCGGAGACGCGGTGGTGCAGCTGCGACCTCCATTTTAGCGGGTGCGGCGACCTCCGCGATCTTTTCGTCGGATTCAAGCGAGCGCGAGTCTGCTGCCCTATACCACGTCAGGCGTTGGAGCGGGGACTCCGTCGGATTGGCTTCGAATTCATCCATCGATCAAAGGTGCCTTTCTTGGTTCTTGGTTCTTGGTTCTTCCCCCGTTCCTGTTTCTTTTTTTTAGCAAGCAAGTATCGTATCGTGCGAAATTTTAGATTAGGTTTGATTTCAAGGCGGAGAAATCTGAATGAACTTGCGAGCGCTTGGATTTGGATGCAATGTTTCATTCCATGATCCAACCGCCTTCATGCTTCAATTCAAAATTTCACTTCGAAAGAACTAAAGCAAATCTTTGTTGCTCAAGAGTTAAGCGTTGCTCTGTGCCACAGCTCCATACCCTAATCCTCTTTCAATGGTGAATCCAACTGATGAATTGATAGTACTAGCAATCCAACTTGCTAGTTAGCACAACCGCGCGAAATTGATATCTTTGAAATGGTGTGTGATGATAGCAGCTCTTTTGTTTTTGAGGGATGTGGGCTCCACTGGTCATACCATCCTTCGATGTTTGCAATTCGTATCCTTCGATGTTTCAGATGCTTTCGGCACTGCAGACAAAGAAATTAGTTAGTACTTATATGCCAGCATTGTTATTCACACTCTTCAATTGTTCATTTATGTTTCCAGAATGTCGAGCCTAGAGGAACCACTTGGTCTTGGGGACCTGCCAAAGTTGAGTATTAATAGACTTGGAAGCTTCTGCCAAAGTGCTTGCAGATCAACAGCTGATGACCGCAGCACCGGCAAGTAAGTTTTCCTGTCATTCAACACCAAATGCTTCATCTCATACTTTGTCATTTTATTCGGTGTTTTATTTTTCATATTTTTTTAACCAGTATCTCCAGATGTGAGCAACCATTCAGTAATAGTATCTTTTTATCTGTTCTGCTTTCAGTTACACGCCTAGCAACAGTGGCAACAACCAGACGCTCTTTCACAGCACTTCTCGCTCATGGCATCTGCAAGGCCAGTATACCGACTCGTCCTGCAATGGAGTGGATATGGAGTTTAGAACTCTTCCACAAAAGGTAAGTTAAGTTGTGAAATTTCATAGTGGATGATGTATGCATTCAATTTTGCTTCCCTATTTTAGGTCTGGTTGCACCTCCTCTAACAGAAGCAAGGACTCCTTAAAAAAACAGAAGCAAGGAAGTGACATGTATCATTTTGGATGCGTTCGGTGTTGCGGTGGATTATGATAATCCAACTTATCCAACTAGTTTTTGTCTATCTTAGTGTTTGTTTAACCAACTTATCCCTAGTTTCATGGCTAGTTTCCCACAGCAGACTACAAAATAAGCGCAGCGCAGCATAGTTCATCAACCGCAAACTAAGCCTCTGTCTATGGCAGCGCAACATAGTTCATCAGCCGTAAACTAAGCCGCAAAGTCATAACTTTCTAGTACTGTTTGAACTCATATGCAAGCTTTGGTTGAAAGCGTAATAAATAAGAATCATTACTACCCAGATGTTTTCCCCTTTGCTCAGTCGATGAATAACTGATTTTTCAGGTTTCGTGGGATCTCCCAAGGTTTGTGAAGGTGGTTGAGGTTGGACCACGAGATGGTCTGCAGAATGAGAAGAACATTGTACCGACATCAGTAAAGATTGAGCTGATACACAAGTTGGTGGCTTCTGGCCTGTCAGTAGTTGAAGCCACAAGTTTTGTTTCCCCAAGATGGGTGCCGCAGGTAATTTATGGTGTACCTAAACTAGATGAAGCTGTGTAACATGCGCAGTAGTTAGCTCTTTGAACTATCTAAAACCTGCTGGTTGAAGGTAATATACCTTCTCTTATTCAACGAATTACAGTATGTCCATGCAGGATTATGAATTAATTGCTTGGTTACATTTTTTTCTTCAGAAATTGTTCCATTTAACTTCCATTTTTCTCTTGTAAAGTTGTGCTAGCATGCATAATAGATAGACAGTTACAGACCAAAGATACGGCAAAACTAATGATAACTTTATTTTGGAAGTGCAGCTAGCTGATGCAAAGGATGTCCTTGAAGGGATCCAGCATGCACCAGATGTGCGGTTTCCTGTGTTAACTCCTAACCTCAGAGTATGCCCATTTCTGTAGACTTATGCTTCAAATTCTTCTCAGAGCAGTCTCAAATCACTGCAAATGACATGCAAAAGAAGTTGCAATACACTAGACATATTTTGTAGTGATGAAGCGATGTCATTTGCAGGGATTTGAGGCTGCTGTTGCAGCTGGCGCAAAAGAAGTGGCGGTTTTCGCATCTGCCTCTGAATCCTTCTCTAAGTCGAACATCAACTGTACCATCGAGGAAAGCCTTGCTCGGTACCGTGATGTTACTTCTGCTGCCAAAAAACATGGAATACGTATCCGCGGGTAAGCTGCCTAAGTCCAAAGCAAGTGTAAACGAAGAGCTTGATTGCCGAATCTGTTCTGAAGTCCTCCATCCTCTGATTGTGGTAGGTATGTTTCATGTGTGGTGGGCTGCCCCGTGGAAGGCGTCGTGCATCCATCAAAAGTAGCATATGTTGCCAAGGAGCTTTACGACATGGGTTGCGCGGAGATTTCACTCGGTGACACGATTGGTGTCGGTACGCCAGGTACGTTATCACATTCGCTGAGTGCCATATTAAACTGTTGATTTCTTGAGGCTTTTTGTTTGTTGAGATTTTGCACACTGTTAACATGGGCTGTTTGTTTCAGGCAGGGTAGTTCCTATGCTGGAGGCCGTGATGGCCGTGGTTCCGGCAGACAAGCTGGCCGTTCACTTCCACGATACATACGGCCAGGCCCTTGCCAACATCCTAGTCTCTCTCCAGGTAATAATAATAATAACCGAGCTGAAAACAACGAGTCAGTGAGCAAGGCTTGTTGTCCTAACACTGTTTTCATGTTGTTGCCATTGCCAGATGGGGATCGGCGTAGTGGACTCGTCTGTGTCAGGCCTTGGAGGGTGCCCGTACGCCAAGGGCGCCACGGGCAATGTCGCGACGGAGGACGTGGTGTACATGCTCCACGGCCTGGGGATAGAGACCAACGTCGACCTCGGCAAACTCATGGACGCTGGCGACTACATCTGCAAGCACCTCGACCGGCCGTCAGGCTCCAAGACTGCAACCGCTTTGTGCAGGCTAACGGCCTGAGGCGCCGTCATACTGGAACTCCACAGTGCTGTCCGTCTAGCATATGCATTTACGCAAGCCATTTTGGTTGTTGTATACCGTATCAATGTACTCTTGTCAGGTGAAAATTATCAGGAACGATTGATATGTACTCCCTCCGTTCCAAAATAGATGACTCAACTTTATACTAACTTTAGTACAAAGTTGGGTCATCTATTTTGGAACGGAGGGAGTACCAATTTGTATCCTCAGTTCTCATATGAACCTTGAATAATCAGAGCCCTCTTCGCCATAATAGAAAGTTGTGACCTCACAGAAAAGTGTATGAAAATGGAGAACAATTAACCGAACTGTGTGATAAATTGCTGATTTTCGTATTGCATAGCTTAAAAATGTGCAATGCAATCATTTTGCCATAAATTTCAAGTATGCCACTGGCAGTATTTTCATGTATCAGATTTTACATGTATCGAAAAGAGTGTATCTAACCCATCGTCATGGTTACGCCAGTGAGCTCTTTGAGAGCAGCCAAGCATTGCTTCAGAAGTGCCTTTGCCTGTTCACTTTTTTCTGACTCGCAGAGTTGGATTAGTTCACCCTCGAACTTGGCCTCTCTTCTCTCTTCCAATGGGAAGTCTCTATACAATTTGATCAACTCAAGAAGGCACTCTGAAGCAGCAACGTGAACCTGCGGGAAAAAAAAACACAACTCGTAAGGACCAAGGTCCTTCCTGGACGATAAATAGTGATTATGATAGCATGTGGGACTCGAGGCTCAATGCCAGTGAGGACGGTATTAGAATCCCTCCGTTTCTAAATATAAGACCTTTTAGGGATTTCAATACGAACTACATATTTTAAAGTGTAGGTTCACTGATTTTGCTCCATATTAGAATCTCTAAAAGGGCTTATATTTAGTAAGCAATATTGAACTAACATAAAAATGAGTAAAGATGATGCAGTATCAGTTGGTAAGCATAGAAGATTACCTGAGCAATCTTAACTAAGCGTATGGAGTCTACTACTTTTGACGCCACTGAATGAAACATCTGAGTTTGGATACCAGGGTAAAAGAAATTTGTCAGATCAACGAAGAAATGACCAAATATCGGATAAAGTACCAAACAACTATGTGATGTACCTCCTGAACAAAATCATCTGTGCCTTCAGGCCACGCCGTGCTACCACCAGAATCCGAAAATTTGTAGCACAATTCTTTGATACACAAGAAGGATGACAATTTAACTGCTCATGAAAATCCAGATAAGTGTCACGATGATAGTTTTCAAGTATCAATGCAGATCTATTTGTAAAACAGTTGCTCAGAATATATCACCGATCCTGCATACAAAACATACCTTGCCAACCCTCCTCGGGTGAAAGAGAGTTCAGCAGAACCTCTAACATATTCTTCTTTTGGTGGATAATATCTTGTGGCAAAGCAATAGTGATGCTAGATGCAGCACAGTTGAGCACCTTGTCGAGAGAAACGGAGACACTTGCACTTTCATCTTGCTCTGCAGAAAAAAAGACCAATACAAAGTCAGTACGAGCATAAAAGGGTATCAATATTCGCATGCAGGGTGTTGTAAACTTCCGCGTCAGGATCTCAATTTTTTTGTTATGATATAAATTACCATACTGTGTTTATATGATAGGAAAAATGGAGTATTAAAGGAATTTTTTAGCATGGGACCTAGTTCGAAAGAGCCCAAATATCGACTGACCAGCAGCAGCAGATGTACTTAGTGAAGATGAACTCCTTGTTGTCTTAAAAATGACAGACTGATTAGAAACCTCATACAACATAGGGAAAACACTATTGAAGAATCCTGGATCTTTGAATGCAGTGATCACCTGAAAAGAAAGCAAATAAAAACCAAGTAAATGGTACTGATTCTAAATGGTACTGACTTTAGTACAAAGTTGAGTCACTTATTTTGGGACGGATGGAGTATATATAATGCCAAAAATCAATCGACTACTGATCATAAACAAAAATGTGGTATTAAATTCCCATGGAGTAGATTTATTAGAGATGCTTGTCTATGCAAACTAATAAGTGGCAACATTATCAACAATACCATCATTCCAATTTAGATGCCTCCACATCATATCTCGAGAAACATATCTTTTTTGCAGTCTTTTCAGGAAACTTTTGTTCTCCTATTCAGTTAATACACTAGAAGGAAAAGCCCTGAGGTAATTTAGTTATATCATGCTTCAAGTTAACATCATAATTTTTTGTGTGGTTATGCTGACAATTGTGTAACAGCAAGAATCTTTTTTCTTGAACATAAGGAACATCAGCCAATTATAACAAGTTTTTACATTCATATAGAAATGAAGGAATGGAAAAGAGAATTACTTGCTGTAAACACGAGAAAGCTGCTTCACGGTACAATTTCGGCTTCCTACTGCATGCAGCACAAACAGCATTCAGAATAACACTAGGCATAGTTGGTTCGTCTGCAGTTATAGCGGCGTGGCAGCACAAACACAGTGAAGCTAGTGCATCCAGAACAGCATCTTTTCCCTGGAAGGATGATAAGGAGAGATATTACCATACGAATTTTATTTAATAAAACAAAGGAGACTATGGTACATAACTTTAGTTACATGCGATGGAAGTTCCAAAATTTCTCTCGCTCACTGAATTTTATTCATCTCACCACTCTCAGAGCATCTCCAATAGATGATGCAAATTTGGAGATATAAAACTAGGTGTTGCACAATTTACATCATCAAAAAGTGCATTTTACATCTCCAAAAAAGAGGCAACTCCAACAGATAATGTATACAAGTCCAACTCCAGTAGATGATGTATAATTGGTGATGTAAACTGAACCTACTGTTGAAATTGAACCTATTGTCGAAACTGAACCACCGATCAAATGGCCGATGCTCTCGCGCGCCGCCGGCCAGATTCTCGCGCGTCACACCAGCTGCCGAGCAAATCGAGCTGCCGCTCCTCCTCGCCTCCTCCTCTGCTGCACACTGCTAGCTCCTGCTACCGCTCCTCATCTGCCCCAGCCACTCCTCGCCAACTCCTCTGTGGACGCCGCAGGCCGAGTCGTGGCCCGGGACAGCGTCGAGGCGTAGCAGCGCGGCCAAGAGTGCCTCCGAGAAGCGTGCGCGGCCGGCAGCCTCCTCTGCTCCTGCGCGACGGATGGCCGGATTCGGGCGGCGGGGATGGCCGGCGGCGGACTGGAATGTGTAGGGGAGGGGCCGAAGCTGGCGGGGGCAAAGGGGCGGCGCCGGAGCTGGCCGGAATCGGTTGGCGACGGCGGCGGCCGAAAGAGGACGGGTGGCGGCGGTATTGGCCGATTTGGTGGAGGGCAGGGGCGCAGCCGCGGTGGAACCGGCGGCGGGGGTGGGAAACGAAATGAAGGGCGGTTCGACGGTTGGTGCCCGGGCAGGTTTTTACATCACCAGTGGGATGGAGATGAAAATTTGCATCTCCAAGTGTTGTATTTTACATCACTTGGAGGAGGTGATGTAATTTTTTTTGCATCTACATCATCTGTTGGAGCAACGTTTTTAGCCCTTGGTGATGTATAAGTTAGTTATTTTTGCATCTACATCTTCTATTGGAGATGCTCTCACTTGTAGAATGGTTGGTTAGAGGATTGTGGGGAAAATTGATGTAAAGTGCATAACTTGCGCACGCATGTGCCATAGTCGCTCAAACCAGTGTTTCCATTAAAATTTTACAAGTAATAGTATGAATTACCTCCCAAAATCGACCTGGTAGCTCTTTCAGAAGTGATTTGAGAATATTATGGTGGTGCGCAGAAATAGGTTCTCCAAGGGCATCACATAGACTTTTTGTAGCCTTGGCTGACTGCAATAACCATAGTATGGTAAGTATACAAGCTACAGCACTTTTAACTGTCACCAATTTATTTGTATGAATAGAAAAACAGTGACAGAGACTACACCTTTCTCTTGCCAGCCCATGATGATGAGGACATGCAATCGCACAAAAGGGATACAATTTCTGGTAAATAAAGTTGAAGGGTTACTCTTTCACTGCTAGGAATATCCTCCCAAAGTTCTCCATACAAGGCACTGGTCTCTTTATCATCATCAAATCTGAAAGAAGTTTTGTTATTTGGGATCCAGTAAGTACGTAGACTACAGGGAACTGCTTTTGTAGTTTTAATGATAATGAACTTCATAAAATCACAAATAGCTGACATATGGGTTTCAGAACTCAAGATGAAAGGTTAAGAGTTAGATATGTCGTTCACATACCTTGAAGAAAAAATTACAGGGATAACCACTGCATTGTATCCACTAATAACATCTGCTGCATTGCTCAAGTACGATTTAATAAGAACTGCACCAGATGACTGAGAACTTTTTTCACCTAAATGCAGAGAAGCGGTGTCTTCAATAAGTTTCTGAGCCTGAGATTGGCTGGCATATTTCAAAACTGCAGCACAAGAAGACGCAAAGGCCCTTTTGGCTGCAGAACTCCTTTCCTCCAGAACAGCAGTATAAAGTAATTTCAGTAACATCGCCATGTATGGCTTGATGTTAATCATGACCTTCTGTACCAGCAAGGTGATGAAGCTAGCAACACCAACCCTGAAATCGGACACGTAAGCAATGACAGGGTAAGATTACAGTAAGTTAAGTGAAATGGTATGTGATATCATGAATACTACAAGGTCCGTATTAGCACGAAAACTAACCTTGTATTAAGACCAACAGCAGATCTAACCATCTGAGCCAGGCGAGGAATCAATAGCTCGAGTGAATTTGTGTCAACAACTTTGATACATATATCAAGGGTTTCCCACATAGGAGAATCTTTTGCTACAGCTACACGCAAGCTGTCAAGCTTCTCGGTTTGGATGCCAGCATTTCCTGCATGCATCTTTGGTCCAAATACAGGAGTGAGTACAGAACAAAATAACATGGTAGACTAATAAGTAATAAGACATCAACATTCCTACAAAAACCACCAAAAGTAGCATACCTCAACATAGTTTAACCTTTGATCCTCCAGACTTGACAAACATTCAAGCATACAACTAACAAGTTCTGACAAATGTGGCCGCAAGGCAATGCCAGCCCCCTATGAACATCAAGAAGTCAGAAGCTGAAGATTTTCCTTTTCTTTATTCTTTTCATTAAAGAAACACACATAGAAGCATGAGCACTAACAGTATGTTATAGGCCATGCATAAGCAAACCATAACAATGCTTTGGATGCAATTAACCAACGACATCAATACTACAATCCTACTAGGGGAAATAATTTAGGAGAATAGTAGGGGAGAGACCTACTGAAATATAGTAAGGTCAAGCAAAGGAATTCACATGCAAACATATAAGGTTCCACAGGAACCAAGACTGTCCAAAAGTCTGTCCGACCTAACAGAACTGGCACATGAAGGTAGCAAAGTTACTAAGTGTACATTAGGACTACTTTCCACAAGTAAAATTAAGTAAGAAAATTGAAATAAGGAGCAGGATATACTATCAAGATCAGACTCCTTTTCCTTCCTCAGTCAACAAATCCAGCCTGTCAAAGCTTCAGCCAACTGCTAGAAAACCCTATACTTCAAGACTTCTACCATTCCAAGCCAATTAGTAACAGTTTTTTCTCCATCTAACAAGGATATAACTCTTGGCCACCAAGAAGAAAGAACATAGATTACTTGCAGTTTATTTAAGTTTCAGTGTACTGCAAAAATATAAAGTTCGCCCTAAAAACAGTCAATCAATGCGATGTTTTCACATCAGCACCTTCCTGAGAAGAAATTCCATGAATATTGTAATCTATGATCTCGTGTTCGCTTAATTTGTTAAGATAAAATAGAACTTTCACAAACTACCACTGAAATTTAATAGCATTAGATGCTACATCTGACTCATTATGGTATAAGTGCAGTTAAACATTATAACTTTCACCGCTGATAATACCTTGGCAAGCTTCATGACTAAATTTATAGATGCTTTTTGAACGCTTGCAACTTTACTGAGTATGCCTTCAGAAAGCAAGAATGGAAGTACAATGCTCATTGTTTCTTTTGCATCAGAAGCGGTAGTAAGTGACACATCACAGAGCCTAACTGTCAATGAGCTTACAGCTCGGCACAAACTGTCACCAGCATTTCGCACGGTTTCCTTTATGTCATCCATCGCACGGAAGGTGGTTGTCCATATTTTTATCAAATGCTTAGAAACCTTGAGAAAAACAAAAGAAACGGTGAGTTCTGTTTGGTTCTCAAAAGATTGTGCAGCCTAGTGCACTGACGGGAAGTTTCAAACTAACTCCAAAATATTCACATACCTGACTATATCTTCGACCTTGGATGATGTCTGCAAGTGCAAGACAAGAAGCTTCACGTGAGCGCCAAAGCCGTGATCCAGATTGAACCAACAGATCCTCTACTATGACATCATAATGTTCATCTATTGCCTTTTTGGGATCTGAAACAATTAACTTCCAGATATGCCCCATTGAATCCTAGAAATGCAACTGGAATTGTCAGCTAGGAGGAAAGCTTATTGCTGCTTAAGATAATATTCTAGGTCATAATTAGATATCTATGAGTGCACACATCAGTAAGAACATCAACAAAGAGTGCTAATAGATGATGCCAAAATACTACTGATTGGTGCTGTACCTAGTAAGCATAAAAGCAGAGCTAAAGATGCTTATAGCATTATCACTATCCATTCATTATAAATCCAAGCTTTGTTAATTTCAAGCACAGTAAGGATGGCGTGCACAGCAGCAGCAGCGGCAACAATAGTTGATTGTGTCGCAGCTGGTTGGCCAACCATATGGGACTATGGTAATGAATGGTATGGCCAAGCAACAGCAATCTCGCACAACAGACAGGATTATTCAACAGGCAAGACTTCTATAGCTAAGTGTGCTGCTGCAACAGGAAAATGGTGGTGTCTACTGCAGGATGAGGGAAACAAACAAGCTCAATTTGATGAAACAATAATGACTATATTGGCAACACAAAAGCACAGACAAACTTGGGGAGGTGGTCAACATCCTGATTTGTTCGAGGAACCACTGCACAAGGTAATACTTGCTAATCACTGAAACGAGTCTCCGCAAGCTCCCTAACCAACTTGTTGGTAAGTAATACATGAGATAAAGAACCCTAGGCAAATCATTCTGGCCAATTATGTAGGCAACTGTTCTTTCACAGAAGCAACATCAATCGCTAAGGTGACTCGTCCACATTGAAGTGCAAATATTCACATAATAATACTATCAATTTAATTTCACTGCACCACCAAAAAAAGGAATATGGCAAATATCATAAGGTGAATGTAATACTTTATACCTGGATGTTCTTATCAGGATCATATTGGTATCGGACAAGCCTAGGAATTAAGGTGTGCAGATGGGGTTGAAGTGCCTCCCCAGCTTGTTTGGCTATCTTGGAAAATCCAAAAGCAGCACCCCTCTTGGAATTGAGAGCAGCCTGATAGTTAGCCAGATCCATGAACTTGTATATCAAGTCAGGTTGTCCCATCTCATTGGCAAGACTACAGAGCTCCTTGTATGTGCTAAGCTTTCCTCCAGCAGGATTACTGCCAATGGTTCCTTCTTGAAAAACCTCTGAATCCTCCATCAGCTAATGCAAGTACATTAAGCAAAAATACTTAAGTAAAAGATAATTGAGGATCTCATAAAAAGGTAGAAATTTGAGAGAATAGTATGCACCTTAATGGCCTTTTTCTTTTTTGCTGCGCCAGTCAGTGTATTCACCAGTGCATGAACCAACTGCCCTTTCATAGAAGCATCACCAAGTTCATACACAATACTCATACCTTGGGATGCCAAATCTTGTGTAAGCTCATTAGAATCGCCAATAAGGTGAGAAAAGGCTTCCTGTAAAGTAAGTAAACACCAAATGTTCATGATAGCCATAAGCCCAGTGCAAACAGCTAACTGAGAAAAGGCATGCTCAGTACCATCGCAAAGATGCATATGTAGAAAACAGTACCAGCGCATATGAGCTGACAAGTAGTCCTAGCCTCCTAGGGCCACAAAATTAGCATTCCTAAATTTTTAAATCAACCAACGAAAGCAGCGGTTCTTTCCAGGCACCCAAAATTATCGCTGACATCCGTTTCGAAAAAATAAATTATCGCTGACATGAAGAAGGCCGATATTTGATTGAAAAATACATGATTATCGTACAAAAAGAAAGGTTAAAGATGAGAGAGGGTCAACACTAAGGACAACTGTTTCCCTCCAAAGCAAGAACATTGCTAGCTGTGGAAACAGTAACCTAAATCACCAGTATATGCATATACATTGTAGCAAGAAAAAACTCTCAACGAAAAGGTACAGATACTCCAAAGGCCCAAAATTAAAAAATGTTTCTAAAAGGAGGTTTATTTTTGGCACTAGTAAATCTTTCAGTCTTAGACTAGGTGGTTATCAGTACTACAATGCTGAAATTTCCGGTCATGAATGGTAGAAAAAACATCTTAAGAACTTGAAGTTCTATACTGTATTAAAAGCTACTCTTATTACAGATTTTAGATTGCAGGTAGAAGTATACCACACTATTTAAGCTGGCTAGTGCATCCCAGACAGTGAGTGCTCATTAGCATAAAATCATACAGACCAATGTTCGCATAATGATTGATCAGTTTAATGCAGTGCTACAGTTTAGTAAGAACAAAAATTAAGAGCTTTATGATGATCTAGAAGTTTTATATTTATTAAAAACCTGAATCTGTGGAAGGAGTTCAAGGATCTTCGGATGCCGACCACAGTACATTGTGAGCGAGACCAAACAGACTGTACCCGCACAGCGTTCCTCTTTTCTGCTGCTATAAATTAGTGTATCAAACAACTTGTTTATAATTTCTTCTTGAGCCGTTGTACGTGCTTCTTCACAGCTGCTTCTTTTACCGAAGTTCCTTGAGTCAAGCAGGGGTGCATCACCAGTAAGAAAGTTTGTGGCTTGGGAAAGGGAAACAAAGTTTGTTTCTAGTATCACATCTGCAGTCACCGGAACTTCACCCCATATGAAAGAGAGAGCCTCGCCAGATGCAAAAAGCACATCTTCAACCTAAATAGATGAAATCCATAATATGATTATTGTCATAATAGTAGGAGTAATATTTTTCACTGAAAATTTGAATTATAACAGTACTACCTTAGAACGCGCGAGACTGAAAATCAAGTCTAACGCAATTTTCAGATGTGAAAAGGACAACTCATTCCATGAAATATGTCCAAGTGATACCAAGATCTTTTGTATAGCTTTGGTATCATTTTCGGAAAGCAGCTTTGTTAATCTCTCATGCAGAACAGTTAAAACTCCAGCTGTATGGCAAACAAAATTAGCTTAAATAAATAACCAGCAAAGACAGGCGGTGAACACTGAACAGCTTTACCTGGAGAGGAGTTCCTACTAATGGAAGGCAATGCACAACGGAGCCCAATATGGCCAAGAGATTCCATTGCAAGTGATGCCAATGTTGAACCCTCAGACTCAACAACTTTTACAAGAATATCAACTACCTTTTGGACCAGTTCTTCAGGTATCTGTGCATTTACTTATCAAGTATAAGAGCAAATCAACAATTTCAAGGCTACATTGATGAAACAATGTTTTGAAGTCAAAGGATTCATAAACCATAAAACTGTCCAACTATACACAAATACTTTAACCAAACTTCTAGAAGTTAAAATCCTGCATCATGATGACGAGAACGCTATGAACAAACATGATTTATAGTACCTTCTTCCTTTCTTCCATAATGTCAAGCATAATTTTTTTCCTATTAAACATTCATGAGACATACTATACTTATTGTTCTAATACCAGCCGCGCATCTGCAGAATCATGCAAAAGGCACAACAAAACAGACAGGTCCGAAAGGATCTTCGAGCATCTAAGCAGGAGAACTAGGTAATGGCTCTTCAAATATACTCTTTCTTGACAGCAAGAACATCTCCTTTATCACTTCTCTAGCTCGCAAAGAGATCAACCAATCAACTAGAACACTTAGGTACCTAGCTGCACAAGCCCCTCCTGGCGGCTTCCCTCTGATTGAATAGAGCACGCGCATCTTATGGTCAAAGACCCCCCATGAATGACCAAACATCAATTCTGTACAGGAAGTATAATACAAGAGATACAAACTAGGAATATCTGGACTATGTCATCCAATTTCTCTCCCCTATTCTCAATACAACAGCATAGAATGGATGATCACCACAGGCCATAAATCAAATTGTATGGCAACTAACTACGAAACTATATTCTAGATGGAGTTTCACCGAAAGCGGTGAAAGCAAATATGCTAAGATTTCATTTAAAGTACACGATTCAGCAAAGAAAATGAAATACGCAATAAGCTACAAAAATGAGGGAGAGGAAAGCAGAATGAGCTTACATAAGATTCCTTCAAACAGCAGGCGGTTACATACCCGATTGCGCATAACAATCCATGGTAAATCTCAAATCTGGCCCAACCAATCAAATATACACATGAGCAGTATGGCAACATAAGTAAAACATCAAAAGGTTGTACTTTTCTCTTGCATACCTTGACGGATGATTTGGGTCAAGTGCTGAAGTGAGTTCAGACAGAAGATTCAATGCAGCCGAGCTTGAAAGTGCTGAAGAAGCAACGCCAAGCAGACGGGCCGCAGCTTCACGAGCATCAGAATCAACATGACTTAGTAAAGTTCTCAGCCAATGTAAACGGTTGGCATACCGTGACGATACCAACTGCAAATTATGAAAAATTATGAAGCAAAAGGTTAAAACATGTGAACAAAGAATTAAGCTTCTTTTAACATAGGTAGAAGAAAAAAACCTTTGGCTGACGAGAGGATATATCAACCAATGACTTCAAGGCCAATGCATGCAGTTCACTAGACCCTTCGTACGACATGGCATGTTCTAAGACCACACACATTTTTGCTACTGGGGAATGAGATGGATCTTCTTGCGAAAGATCTGGAATATCACTTGCCTCAAAGCACTTCATCAGAAACTTGATCATTGCAAGAAATGTTTTTGATGGGAATAGCAGCTTTCCATCACTCTGATCGTTAGATTGCAGCAGCTTAGGCTGCTGGCTGTAGATATAATTTAGCATCTCCACAATATCAGGGTAGTTGAAATCAACAGTTATTGCAGGTGACTGCCTCTCATCATTTAACAGATTTAGACCTGTTAGAGCCATTTCCCTGTGTACAGAAGAATCAACAATAGCAGTTATATATATACAGGAACTTAAGGAATGCATCAATATGTTAGCATCATAAAAAATTTAAACCATGAGTGTGTTGTATTAGGACAAAATCATGGATACTAATTTACAAGTATCAAGTGTACAGCTACAAGTCAACTCTCATCAACTTCGAACTATTGGCACAAACTACTAAAGTTTGGTTTGCATGACCTACGAAAGTGTTTGATACTAAATTGGAGCTGTCCAGATGCTACTCCCTCATTTTGGAAATGTAAGGCGCACACGCTTTCCAAGATTTACCTTTGACCAATAATTAGCAATATGTGTGTTATGTGATACAAAATTGATACCATTGGAAGGTGCTTTAAATAAATACAAACCCAACAACATTAATTTTGAAACATATAAAACCTTTATATTATTCATGCAATTGTTGGGCAAGAATCTCAGAAAGCTTGTGTGTATTACATTTCCAAACAAACGGAACGCTGTGCTAGAAAAGAGATGATCCTAAGGGTGCCACCATTGCCTATATATACGGTTAAAAAGTTGAGCGTGCATACAACAGGCCCAAGTTTTATAGATTTCATGGCCCGATGTTAAGTACATAGGAGAAGATGAACTTGTATCTGATATAAAAGTACAAAAATGCAACAAAAGAGCAACAAAGCACCATGCTGGCATATTGTATATCTACTAGCATCGTCAATAACCAACCTTATGTCCAGTTTTACATCTGAAGCTCCAAGCATGCAAATATACCGGCTTGGGCAGTGCTGCATGTCGTATAACATTGTTGCCCATCTTACAGCAGAAAATCGAACCTCAATTTGCTCCTTCAAGAAAATTTACGATATAAATGTAACATCAGAAAATTATAGAGACCGAACAACTAAGGGCACATGCATTTACTCAAATAAGGCCCTTAAGAATAGCAAGATACTGCAACTTAAACACACAACTCTAATGCATAATGGAAGTGTGACCCATAGCATCACAAAAATCAGAAGAAATAGTCATCTACCCAATGGAATCCATCATCCCAATCGCAACATCTTAGATTTCTTCCTTCAGTATTATTTTTGTCACATATCTCCAGACCAGTCCAAGAAAAAAGGGTGAAAGTGAAACTATACAGAGAAGGTAGTTTGACCTTCGTAGAGCCCGACTAAGTTCTGGACTATAAAAGTATTTGTGAATAGATAATTAGAACGATAATCTTACCACTTGAGAATTTTCCAGAAGAAGCGCCTCAAGATCCTTCAGTACTACAATTGAAGCACCCTGATACCATGAGCAACAAAATGAGTTAAATACAAGTAATGAGTTAGGTACAGCACCTTACAGTCGGAGCTAAGAAAATATTCAGCTCATAAACTATTATGAGCTGCATGTTATAGATTTTTTTCAGTAAAACAGTAACAGCAAGCCAGCAACACTAGACTGCAGATGGGTTAGGTCACATTACATGTGAAGGTGCTATGAATGATTTTGCAACATACAAACATTGGTGTATAGACAAGCAACTCCAGTTTAAATCATTTTGTGTAAAGCAAGGATAAAATCTTGAGTTGTTGTGTTGCCAAGGTGCCTGGTTTATCATGCATACTAGACTAGCATGTAAGGACATGGGCATTACAATATTACAGGGAGTTAATCGACAATAAACTAGCACTTATGTACTGCATCAAGCATTAAATATAGTTATTTGATTACTTAAGACAACCAACGAATCAAAATTCACAATCATCTTTGCCGGCGTCTTAGATAGGTTGTGACAGCATACTTTAGCAAGCGCTCCATAACTACCTTATATGCTGTAGCAAGGGAAGTGGCTGCCTCCTGAATTGTGAGGCGGAGTGATTGATCCTCCAACCTCAAAGCAGTAAAGAGTCGCATAGCCATTTCTGTTTTGTTGCTGCAATGTTCACAGAAGTAGTAGATCATTCCCCATAGCAGAAACAAAATATGAGCCGAGAAAGTAAAAGTGTATGACAAGGGCATGCCTGAATAAATTAGGCATACGAGAGGCGAGCAAACCAATGGCCTGGTATGCAAATATTTTGACATCTCTAGCAGTGGAATCTGGAGATGGAGGACATCAAGAAATCATTGGATATTTTCTCGAGTACAAAATGAACAATTTTTTCATCAAAGAGATGTTAAATTCGAGTAATATAAAGAAACAATGCGGAAATAAATCACATGCAGGTTTGAACAAGTAGAGTAGATAAGAAGTGCAAGAGACCTGCTTCTGTACTGGATGAACCATCAAGGGACCGTAATATTCCACTGAGGATAACTGGGCCAATTAACTTTAGTTGGTCCATTACTGCCTAAAACAATAACAAAACTATTATAATACACAGCCTTTTCATACCATATTACAACAACGGCAAGGGGGGCGGGGGGTAACATTGATGGAAAAAGGGAAAGCTGGAATGAACAAGATGGACTATATATGATCAAAGTGAACATACATGTTTAAAAACCCAGACAGTGAACTCCATCCCTAGCTGTTTCAGCCTTGAAGTGGTTCCACTTCCTAGAGGCACAGAGACATAGCAGAAACATATTGAGCTCACCCCCACATATGGCAATGATGAAATCGAGATTTTGCATTCTGGAACTACAAACTAATAAATTAAAATGAATGGGACATAATGAGATAATCTTAGATGGAGACCGAGAACCATTACTTATATTATAGGTCCACCACAAGAATACTACATGGAAATAATGGACAAATATGTGTTTCATCTCATGAAGAACAGATACCAGGCAGTGAGATATTGAGGCTTAACAAAAAAAAATGCTCTCTAAAAGCAACTTAAGCATGATTATTGAATGGAAAAACAATGTTCAAAGTTAAATTGAGTCATTCAGCAGGACTTAATGTTCTCTTTTCCTTCTTTCTCAAAAAAATGTTCTTTTTCCTGTCTTATATTCCATGCATCCTTTACTCTTCTTTTTGCCCATCCGTTCATGTTCAAATTATTATTCTTTTTGCCTATGGTGCAACTTTACATGATAATGGAATGGAATGCCCAAAGGGTTGTAAACACAACTTATCCATGACTATTTTAACCTAAAAGAAAATGTTTTAGTCCGAACAAGGGTGAGGTTCAATGTCCTTCATTCTTCTACTTCAATGCACTTTATATGACTGATAGAGATATAAGAAGGAAAATGTCCTTTGCTACCAAGTACCAACAGAGCTTATTAAATATGCAGTTTATTAGCCGTGTGCCATGACTATAAAAATATAACAATGCATAAAAGAATGTAAAGATATGATACCATAGATGCAGCCAAAAATGCATTGAAGTGTGTATGGAAATGCGTTTGCTGCAGCAATTGACCGGCAGAAAACACTCATTAGGCGAACACGCAATGAACTAGGTGCTGGGGCGACTTTCAGTTCTGCAGCTATATTTTCTGCACTTGCGGTACCTGTGACACCAGAGATCATTACCATGAAACATTCAGATTCACATTGAGCAAGACAAGATGCAACGAAACTGCCAAGTTGATAACAGGGAAGAAGAAAAGAGAAGCATGCACGCGTGTGGGTATGGATGTGTGCAACAACGCAATTGGTGGGCCTGCTGATGGAGATCAATGCCAGTGGCAGGCATGCACTGTATGCAACTATGTAGTATGGAGGAGGAATCTAGATGGTATGCATACTTGTGAAAGGTAAACAATTGGGAGTTCAAGAACAGACCAGGAAGGTGTGAGAACAGGCATACAAACACAAATGACTTTCTCACCTATAGATCATGACAACAGAAACAAGCAAAAGAAAGAGAACTGAAGTTAAACTAGATGTTTTTGTTTCACAATTATACTACCTAGCAAACTGAATTTCCAAACAGTAATTCAGTCACTTAGTACACAGAAAAGTAGGTCAGTCAGATTCCAGACCACAAAGATGGAATAGCTATGCCACACCACAGGAGGTATTGTAGTTGAAATGTGAAATGCATAAATAGAACCCTAATGAATATATAATGCGTACCATTGAATAGTGTGAACAATCTATTGATAAGCTTGGCATCTTCTAAGTTCGCAGTTGAAGCTTTGCGCTTTAACAACTCGTCGCCTCTCTTAGCAACTGATTCTTGACTATATTGGAACAGTGATAAGCATAATTGTTGATCCACTTAGTCATTTCTGCAGATTGTAAATTGATTTTTGAAATGAAAGTACCTATCTGAAGCACCAGCTAAATAAATAGGGTAGACAATCTCAGATGTCAGCTGCATAGCTTCAAGAACATTCAAGATACCTAGCTGAAAAGATTGATGAGAAATTCAACCATAAGAAGGAAAGTGAAGGTAGTACACTCAACAATTTAAATGTGTGAATGCATGTACAGACATGAGTACACGCACAGGGATAAAATATATAATACACTCAACAATCCCAGTGAATGCTCAACAGAAAAACTGCATGTAATTTGGTATTACCTTTCTTGATGCAAGTGTGTCACCTTTCAGTGGTAGCTTTCCAGTAACACGATCTGCTTGGGCAACTGAAAGTCCTGCTGGGCATCCAATGCTGGAGAATGCTAACAGTCAGCCTCCTGAATTCAATACATGTATATTACAACTTTACCTGATTCAGTTAAGTAGAATATACCCTTGAGATGGTGTTTGATACAATATTGTGTGAAAGCAGAAGTCAGCAAAAACTAAGCCATCATCAGATCCACTTATGGATCGATATTTTAAGGCAATGTTATCATCCACCTTACGTGTGTTGCATTCACCAATAGCCTGGTCAACAAATAAAAACGAAAGGACAAAATCATGCAAGTGTTACAGAATGTAGGTACGGCGAGGGGGGGCTAAAGTCAACAAAGCCAAAATAACTAAAACATGCACATGATGAAAGGAGTTACAGAGAAAAAATAATTCTCTCAAGGGAAGTACTTATGTCATATTTTCTGTGTGCAACGCAGGCAATCTATAATTCTATCCTCCATTCTGAGGATTAACTTTCAAGCATAAAATTTGTGTCATTAACTACAGCCCATGTCCAACCTGGAACATTGATATGTCTTTTTATTGTTCTTGTGGGAATAAATCCACTGCAATACTGCACTGCACATCCTTGAATTATATGTGCACTTTATGGTACACAACAATCCTAGCTAAACTTTCCGTGCAACTAAAAATAATTCAATATGATCAACTTATATATCACATCCCATTTTAGGAAAATATATATATGCATGACATGACTAACCTTTGATACAAGTCTCAAGATAATTCCTTGATGCTGAGCTGGGACTTTCGATATATTGATTAACAAATCAGGTGCAATGTTTCCCTTTTCCTGTTACAAAATGTTAAGTTTGCATTGTTAACTTCCCAGTAAAGGTAAAATAATAATGCTAAGGAAATGGGAAGCCGGCAAAGGGAAAGACTATACCTCGCTTGGCAGGCGTTCAAACGCCATCTCAATATAAACAATACAGAAGTTGCGAACAATAGACGTTGAAGCAGATTCAGTATAGATCTTCCATAAATCCAGCATGGGCAGCGAAATCTCAGGCCTGTGCTTCACCCGTTTGTTGATGTGGCTGAGAATCTCCATAGCCTAGTCAAATACAGAAGTGGTATTCTATTACATGCCATTCATTGGCATAAAAATGTATGTTTGTTATAACATGATATAAAACATGCACCAAAAGAACAGGCTCAGCAGTAAGCATTCTTTCTACCAGAAAGGAGGCATGTGTATTGCTGAGTATCAGGCCAGCACTTGAGCAGGTGCAGGGGACTATTAGACAGAGCACGGTTTTAAGCCCGATGTTCCACGAGTTTAAAATGAAACTGCAGAACAGGGCAGCTGCAGCCAGTTTTTGTATAATCCTGTAAGGAGCTCAGAATAACAGGGAACTTGTACGAATGAAATTTCTGTAGGGAATATATGCAGAATTTCCTCTGTTCCGAGTAAACGAGGCTCGAATTATGTGACCTCACGGGCAAATCGAAGCAACGGAAAAAAAAATAGCACCACAGGCTATGCTAAGCCAACTAGGGGGGCGGCTAAACCAACTAAGAGCGACACCCAGAGCTCGCGCTGAATGGCGGGGGAGTGGTGACTCACGAGCTTGCGGACGGAGGTGGAGGTGGAGGCGAACGAAGTGATGGCGTAGGGGAGCACGCGAACGAGCAGCGGCGCGAGGCGGGCGTCCTCGGCGAGGGCCAGCCGCGTGAGCATCCGGTCCAGGGCGTCCTCCCTCTCCGCGTCAGTCGGCGCCGGCGGGGCGGCCGACGGCTCCGCCATCTCGTGCGGCTGGGTGCTGTGTTGGACTCGCGCGGTCGCCGCTGGTCAGGTGCTTGCCTTCCGGCGCAAGAAGAAAGGGGGAGGAGTGCGGATCGGAGAGGATCGAGTCGACTCGAGCCGGGTCCGTGTATAAACCGTTTTGAAGGAAGAGCGCCGGAGTGAGCCGGAGGTCGAACCCTGGTGCACGAAACAGGCGCGCTGCTAGGTCGACCGGCCAGGTTCTAGAACGGTCCCTCTAGAGCCGTACGATGCACTCGCGCTTAGGGCATGTATAAGGGAGGCATCACCTTCCTAATGCCTCACCTTTTTTTCCACCTAAGTAAAGATAGATGGGGCATCATTTAGTTTCTCAAACACTCAACGCATAGAGCTGCCCCATCAAGCCCATGTATGACATATACAACCTTGCTTTTTACCTTACGTTAAAGCATTACTAGTAGAGCCCTCAAACCCTTAAACCCCTAAAAATAATTGCTTTTTACAGTTTTCGCGGAAAAAACGTCGTAGACTAGAACCTCTAAACCCTTAAACCCGTAAAAAAATTTAGAGGTCCAACCCTCAAACCAGTTTGCAATCCGTAGAAGTAGGGGTTAAGAGGAAATTCGCCCGCACGACCCGCACTCGCTCGCTCGCTCCGAGCTCGCGCGGGAGCCAACTGCCGGCCTCCTTCTCTGCCATGGAGGGCACCGCCCGCCGCCGTTCCTGCCCCGGCCG